TCTCTGATATCTGTTTCTTTCGTGCGCCAATATATCCACGAACTCCATGTCATCCTATACACAGGTTCGAGTAAATATGTAAATATTAGTGCCTGTCACATAGGTAATACTACGTGTCTTGAAAAATCTCTCACAAAACCTTAAAACAAAGTATGTTATACTCATCTTATAAATATGTGTTACTTTAAATCTATTCCACGCAAACATATACTATAAAATAAGAAGTGAAAATTTATATAAAAAAATAAAACAAAAAATCAGATTTATTAAGATTGATGTCTTATATATTGTATAACCAAAAGTAGCTTTTAACGTGTTCAAATTTCACAGCACCATCAACCCTGCTTTTGGGTGCGTTTGGTTGAGGGGCTATGACTTCTATAAAAACTACCGCCAGCCTCTTTCAGTTACGAGCGGACCCTAAACATATTGCCCCTCATCCAAGGTAGGACCTTCTCATTGGACACCAGATGATCAGCAGTTTCGATGCCTCTTTGGCTAGGTTGAATAGTTCACAGAGCCCAGATCGCATTGATGGTGACCCCCTTTCCTTCATCTTCAACTACAGATGGTATGCCGATAAAACACTAACAAAAACACATAGGTGATGTGCGAGACGTGTGGCACGTCCGTGGGCTACCCAATCTCGATCCGCTTCTCGTCGCTGTCCTCCTTCTCGTGATCATCGTCATCAACACCCACGGCGCCGGTGCTGCACATCACCAGCGACTCCGCAGCACCCCCACGATGGCCGTGCTAACGCTACGACAAAATACAAAACATGATTCAATTTGTAAAAAAATAAAACGAGCAAGATAGAACCCACCTCATTTTCACCCAACTTCAAATCAAATGAATTTATTTTCCTAGCCCATCCCAGTCAGTAAACAATTAATTAACCTATATCTCGCATGCTAACCAACCCCTGTTTCACTGTCCCCACACATGAATCGCATGTTGGCTTCCTTCTTTTTCAGAGTGACGTGCTGATCAAAGAATGGTTCAACAACAAAGTTACAGGGATTGAAGCACATGGTTCAGCAACAAAATTGTAGGGATCAAAGTACATGATCCAGCAACAAAATTACAAGGATCAAGCATATGATTTGCACTACTTAGAACCACCTACACTTAATCTGCCAATTTCTCCTCTCTAATGCAGTATAGGGCCTCTGCCTTCTCATGAAATTCAGACTCCGCCTACTGTCTCTGAACACACAAGTCTGCTGACATATCAGGTCCACTACTCTGTCAAACTATCACTGCTTTGATCACTTGCTGCATACGGTAAAATACAAAACAAGATAATATTTGTAAAGACAAGTAATTTTGACTAATTTATTTGCAATAAGAGGATCATGAAAAAGTAGCTTAATGATACAACATACTCCTGTAGCATAATGACAACCACAATACATGGCAATCTCGCAGGACAATTCTTGTTCTAAGTGTGATAACACAAGACAGTCAGCATTTGTTTGGTAAATATATCAAGATTGCTGAACGAATTTCATTTTTTTAAAGATGAGAACTTTATCTAGTCCCCACTAAACCAATCTAATCACATATGTACATTATTAGAAAACTGAACTGCTTGTCATCTTCCTATTTTTGCCAGTAAAATTATTTGAGCTTCGTATGTATAACCTGGACTCAACATGGCCATGCCAAGACATAAAAGTTACCTTAGTTACAATATCATTATATTAAGCACAATAACATGGCAGCTGGTTGTGCTCAGCATCAAGCATCAGTGTATCAATGCCAACCATTGACTCATCCTATAGAGTTTACAAATGTAAGCTATGGAAATAAAATTGCAACAATTCAGGGCAAGTTCAGTTTATTACCTACAGAAAAGTTCTTGCATTCCCTGTTTTTCAAGGTTTAATTTCAGTGAGAAATAATCATTCTTTTCCTTGTCTGTCTACACCAGATTGTTCAAAAATAAACAAAGATTAATCCACAGTCATTTTGCAGTGCAGAGATAACCTTGTGACCTGGCTTGGTCTTGCTGGTATGGGGACACCAATTCAGCGAGCGAGTTCTGGAGGTGCAAAGGCCTGATGCCATACATCTGAATACCATCCAGTGTAATAAAAAAATAGCAAGCCAAAAATTCAGTGGCCATAAACAAAGTTGACAAGAGAAAAATATCTAATATATTTGACCAATAAAGTATCTAACATTGGTACACCAAGCTCGTGATTTGAGACTGTCAGTAAATAAATAAAGCTCGAGCTACTTGAAATGAGATTGGTACAGACAAATGGCTAACTATGCTAAAAAACAATGGTATCCAATGTGTAGGAACACAATATCGAAAAAATTAGATGATTTCAAGGATAACTTTGATGCCTAACTATGCTATAAAAACTGGCTAAGCTAATTAGAAGTACCCACTGGACGCAAGAAAATGGTAGCATTAAAGAGCCTCTATTCAGAACCAGGGATAGGCTTCGGTTACATTTATTTCTAATAGCTACCATAACATTTAGGATAACACAAATTAAACAACCAAAATGGTGTAATCATTGGGAAATAGTAGAACAGAAGACTGGGAAGTAGAGTAACAGAGAAACATTTGAAGTTCTTTCGCACATTAAGTTCAAAGTGAATTATATAAAATTTGAAGTAGACATGCACGTGCCACACACACATGCCTAATATTTCATATGCAATGGAAGAATAACTACTGTTTTTCTTGCGTTAAAATATACAAACAACTTGTAGTAGGATAGCAGCCAATAAAAATTCAAAAAGTCGACATGAATTGCCTTTAAAAAGGGTCACAATATAATCATAATGTCATAAAAAAGAATAAATTTTCTAAAGCATTGAACCATGACTTGAATATATACAAGTGTATCTTGAACTTTATTTGAACCTTAATGAGCTCATTTAAAACAGAGGAACAGAAACAATTTCAAACGTCTGAGATTTCAGGCAAAGATACAATTATTCTTGAGATTAATACACTGTGCAACTATTTGTTGATGGCTCGATCCTGCATTGTTAACAAACAATAATCTGAGTATTGTTTCTTTTCAATTTGTTTTTGAAGTAAAAGAGATTGGTTGCACCTTAAATTGTATGGAGATCATAGCTGATGCAATCTTCACCATCTTTCTAGTTGAAATAAATTTGATAGTATTTCCAGAGAGGAATAGCCCCTCAAATTTTTGAAAAATCAAAACATTTGGAGGGAGGATTGTTGAAAGTGAGATGAAGATGAGCACATACTAAGAAAAATGATAACTCAGCTAACAAAAAGCATAACAATTCTAGGTTTTATGCACAACTAACGTGTTAATAATGATATGAAGTTCTCTCCAAATATGTGTTTTCTATTCAATTGGGCAACACCAAAGTATTTTTCAATCAGCACTAAACTGGCAACTGAGGTTATCATCATACATGGAAAATAGAATTGAAAATAGAAGTATGTATGATAGTCATGCACTCTATGATACGGGTTCAGTACACCTCAGACTGACCAAACAACAGAAATAGCTATGATATCTCATGGCTAGCTATCTCATGACTAAACAGCTACATAGTATGTACTTTTTTTTAAAAAAGTTTATCCTTTGTCATTAACTATATGATGTCCATATTGAGATGTCCATCAGTTAGGAGGGTTACTGCAGAGTGCAAAGATGTAACCTGCTGAAAATTTTATGTAGTAGAAGAATGACATAATGAAGAGAAGTAATAAGATGTGAGGAAACACATACAACAAGGCAAAACCAAACACTGGCATCCTAATATGTGCTCGCATGGGAGATGCTCGCCGCTGCCTGGATCTGCCGGTCGCCGGATCCACGCCCTCCACCACCGGCCGCTCGGAGGTTGGGGGAGGCGCCGTCGTGGACACCACCACCGCCGCCACCTGCGAGAGAGAGGGTGAGAGAGGTACTGAGAGAAGAAAGACAGAGAGGGCGAGAGACATACCGCGGCGAGGATCCGTACCGCCGAGAGTAGCCGCCCGCTCGCTGCCAGGATCCGGGCACGTCCAACCTCCTCCTCCCCAGATCCAGGCACGACCGGACTCCTACTGGCCAGATCCAGGCGCGGCGGCCGGCCTCCTCGCCGGATCTGGGCGCCGGGAGACGGGGTGCTGTTGGTGGCACGTGGACAGAGGTGCTGGTGGCGCTGGGAGACGGAGAGGGAGCAATGGAGTGTGGCCGGACTCCTCGCCGGATCTGGGAGCCTAGAGAGGCAGCGATGTCGATGGCTGGTGGAGAGAGGGAGTCGCGAGGGAGGGGCGGGCTCGGTGTGGAGGGAGAGGGGCGGGCTTGAGACGAGAACGGGCGCCTGTGGGGAGTGGTTTTGGGCAATGGGGGCGTGATTGCAGCGTTTTACAGCGTGCGGGACGGGAGACGGGTATCGCATGGGAGGCGGAGCGAAGACGACCTAAAAAAAAGTCGCACGAAAAAATAGTCTTTCTTTTGTTCTTTTTAGTTGTTGGAGATTGATGTGCGGCCTATGGAAACTACTCCGATCCTGTACTAGATGGTTTGATAAAGTCGCCCAAACACCATCAGACTTTTGCCTTGGCAGATGTTGAACCCTGTGAACTCGAACGGTCCGAGACCCTATCCCGATAGAGCCAATCAGCTACATGTTACATGTTCCTACCGTAAATGTTAACCCTTAGTCTCTACTATTATGTTCTTGCTTAGGGCCCGTTTGTTTAGGCTTAATCCTGGACGAAACTGTTCCTGGTGCTGTTTTGACGTATAAAATAGAGCTACGTTCCTGGCCGGATCAATTCCTGGGCTTGATTCCGTGTTATCCGAACGTGCCCTTATGTTGCGTATGGTGCTCACCCTCGAGGGCACACTTTTGAGTTTTTTTGTGTTTGACACATCTTCAAGTCAGCACATACCTTCCATCGTCACAAACCAGGAATCAGATCACCCTTATTAGTTATTACACGAGAAGTTTCACACTCAACTATACAGGAAACGTTCATATGACTAGCAAACATAGAAAAATCAATCTGTTGCAATGTACGCCGCCGCACGGCTTAGCAGTCCCTTGATCATGTTACGAGCGATGAACCTATTGGCAGCCTCGGTGAAGTGGATGCCGTCCCAGGAGACGAACTTGGACGGGTCGGCGCACGTCGTCGACGCCGGCGTGCCGCAGAACGCGACGAAGTTGAAGTTGTTGGGTCCACCGCCGCCCCCGCAGCACGCGGCCAGCGGCGTGTCGCCGAAACCGTACAGGGCGGGGGACGCGATGGCCTTGAGCACGGGGCGGTAGACGTCGGCGTAGAGGAGGGTGAGGGACCTGCCGTAGCTGCTCCGGAGCTCCCTGAGCATCATCCGCAGCATGTGGTTGTGGTGCTCGGCGAGCACGTTGAACCGCGTGATGCAGCTGGTGGTAGGGTCGTAGTCGCCCGGACCGCCTGGGAACAGCGCCAGCTGCTGCGGCTCGCAGCCGATTGGCAGCATCCCCGTGACCACCAACGTCCTCGCCCCGGCAGCGATCATGGCCTGCGCCGCAGCAGGTTTATTAACAGATGAGGAGAGCAATTTTAATTTGTGCCGGGAGCGTTGGATCACCGCCAACGGATGCTTACTGTCAGGGCCGAACGGATGGTGTCGATGATGTGTGGCACCAGGCTCACCGCCAGGTCGACGGAGTTGTTGCTTAGGGCGACGAAGTAGTCATTGACACCGATCTCGCCGACGTAGAAGACCGACTTTGCCATGATCTTACGCTGATCTGTGACACGAGTTTTATCTTAGATCGATGATCGATCCACTGACTGTGACTGATATATTGATCAGCTAAACGAGACTCTACGGGCTTTATATTAGTTAGTTTCCACAAGAAACAAATGCTAATTAGGAGTAGTTTTTACCGTAGTCTGATGCGTCGAGTAGCTGCAGAACGTTCTGAAACCAGCTCGTCTCATTAGCCAGAGAGATGGGCACGAACGGCTTTATCCCCTTGGTTGCTAAGAACGCCTGGTCGAGCGCCGTTGCACCACCCAGCGCGAAGTTCCGTTGACAAAGTCGGCGGCCGTCCTGCCGGCGAGGTACGGCGTCGGCTCTGGCACCTTCAGCTCCTCCACTGCATACATACATACATACGTACATATATATATATATACATTTTTGTGAATGCGCTTGAACGTGATGAACACTGACGAATGAATGACACACACACACATATACACACACACACCGAGGAAGTCGAGGATGAACCTGCCGTTGGAAGCCCGGCCGGTGCGATAACCAAAGTAGGTCTCCCCGTAGGGCGGCTGGGTGGAAGCCCCCTGCAGTCACCGGGAAGATGGCCCCGTTTCCCGTGTCAGTGAGCGAGTTGCCGAACGCGAACAAGCAGGTGTGCCGCCTGCGGTTGCCCCCATCGATATCCGTGTCCGTATAGGCGGGGGTTAGTGCGACGCCGAGAAGGATTCAGCCTGGTCGGTTGCGTGGTTCGTTTCGGTCGTTGGTTCGTGAAGAAGTACTGCTGACTGGTTTGTGTGAGAGAAAAATACTGTTTTGGTTGAAAATTTACGATCGTTTACGACAAGCCACAGCCAAACGAACATGCTATTATTAGCAGAAGCGGCACGGCCGGAACAAGACGTGAGAACGGCGACGCCATTGAGAACGAGAAGCGCGGGCAGTGTGGGATTGCTTGCTGATCTATTACTAGTATTTATTTGTGGTACTGGTAGTGGCATGTGCAGTGGGGTTTCATCAGAGTTTTATGTGCATTAAATAGGTTGATGTGACACCGTATTGATGAAGAGAGAGATGATAGTAGTTTTATGGGAGTAGAGAGAGTTTTATGGGGATGAAACTCTTCTGCACTATTTCCAAAATATAGATGCATTGGTAACATGCACTACGGGAAACCGGCGATTTGCCGAGTGCCGGAGTCTTTGCCGAGTGTATTTTATCGGGCACTCGGCAAAGACCGTGTTTGCCGAGTGCCAAATAAAATACACTCGGCAAACAAAAACACACGGCAAAATACGTCTTTGCCGAGTGTTTTTTTTCTGACACTCGGCAAAGATGTATTTTGCCGAGTGCTATTTTTTGGCACACGGCAAAATACGTCTTTGCCGAGTGTTTTTTTCTGGCACTCGGCAAAGATCGTGTTTGCCGAGTGCCAAATAAAATACACTCGGCAAACAAAAACACACGGCAAAATACGTCTTTGCCGAGTGTTTTTTTCCGACACTCGGCAAAGATGTATTTTGCCGAAAGTGCTATTTTTTGGCACACGGCAAAATCGTCTTTGCCGAGTGTGTTTTTTCTCGCACTTTCGGCAAAGATGTATTTTGCCGAAAGTGTCTTTGTTTTGGCACCGACGACAAAATACGTCTTTGCCGAGTGTTTTTTTTCGGCACTTTCGGCAAGATGTATTTTGCCGAAAGTGCCTTTGTTTTGGCACTTTCGGCAAAGAGGCATTTTGCCGTGTGCATTTTTTTTTCACTCAAAATCAGTTTTTTCAAGCAAATTTGAGGCCCTAAATGAATTCAAATGAAAAACTTTTCAATTACAAAAGTTAGTATAACTTCTCAAGATCTATAAAGTTTATTTTGGTCATTTCTTCATTTGACAAAGCGACAATAACGTTGTTCATAAAATCTACATCTCTCATATCTCTTATTAGTTTCATGAAAGTAGAAGAGAGATATAAAGATTTGTGAACAATGTTACTACCACTATGTCGGATGAACAAATGACCAAAATAAACTTTGTAGATCTTAAGAAGTTATGAAATTTTGTAGTTGGCAACATTTTAATTTGAAATCATCTTGTCATGCAAAAACGACGTTTGAATTTGAAAATTTTAAAATTTGAATTTTTCAAAAGACCTCGGATGGAAAAACTTCCTAAATGAAAATTGTAGATCTCGAAAAGTTATGAAACTTTGTAGTTGACAACTTTTTGATTTGAAATCATCTTATCATGCAAAACTACGTTTGAATCTCTCAAATTTGAAATTCGAATTTTTCAAACGACCTCGGATGAAAAAACTTCCTAAATGAAAATTGTAGATCTGGAAAAGTTATGAAACTTTGTAGTTGACCACTTTTTGATTTGAAATCATCTTATCATATAAAACTACGTTTGAATCTCTCAAATTTGAAATTAGAATTTTTCAAACGACCTCGGATGGAAAAACTTCTTAAATTAAAATTGTAGATCTCGAAAAGTTATGAAACTTTGTAGTTGACCACTTTTTAATTTGAATTCGTTTAGAGCCTCAAATAAGCAATTTACTCTCGATTTAGTATAATATATGAGGATAGAAAACGGAATCTAGACACAAGTGATAGTGTAGTGCAGTGGTAGAGCAGCAGACACGCGAGGGATAGGTCGTGAGTTCGAATCCCGCCGGCCGCGTTAGCCCGAATTTAGCGCAAAAAATTCACCGACTTCGATGAAGACGGGCGGGCGCTGGCTGGTGTGGCGGCCTCCCCGAAAATTTTTTTTTGAAAATTTTTGCTATTATTTTTGAATTTTTTTTCGTATTTTCATTTTGCCGAGTGTATATCTTTGCCGAGTGTTTTTCCGGCACTCGGCAAAGGCTTTGCCGAGTGCCCGACAAAAAACACTCGGCAAAGTCTGTTTGCCGAGTAAAATTTGCCGAGTGTCGTTTGCCGAGTGTTACACTCGGCAAACCCTTTGCCGAGTGTTTTTTAGGCTTTGCCGAGTGCCGCTGGCAAACCTCCTGATTCCCGTAGTGATGGCTATGAAATCCCCACTAATACTGACCTAATAACGAGAAGAAAAAAAAAAAAAAATGACATGCTGCGTCCCAGTTGGTTGGAGCTAGTGGTTTGTTGGGCTGAAATTCCGTTGGGACGAGCAAACTAACCAAGTATTAATGGCGATGTTCCTTTTACGACCGGGGCAGATTTGGTGTGTGGAGCCTATCAACAACCCTCTTGCATGCATGGAGCTGAGGAAAAAAAAAGAAAAGAAAATTTGGAACTTCCCTCATTGTTCACATGGATGCATTATATTGTTCCTGGGTCCCATCTCCTTTGACATAGTACTCCCTCCTAAGTTTCATAGGCGTACTAGCTTGGGAAAAGTTTTCAAGTTTTACAGGCGCACAGCTCCTGCATGCTGTTGAATGCCTCGTTTGCACTGCATGCAGTTACTGCGTCTTCCCGTATTTTCGACCGCTCGCTTGTTTCCAGTGCATTGCATAGAAAGCGCGCTGTATACAACCCGGCCGCTCGCTTGTTTTTCTCTCTCACCAGCTGCACTAGCTTCCTCTCTCCCTTGGCTCTCCCCAATAGACTACTTCTAGCTCTCGGCCATGGAAGAACTGGCACCGGCCATGGAGGGCGAAGTGCCGGTGTCGGCCACACTTCCCTCTCCGCCATGCACTTCTCTGGTAGAAACGCTTAGCCCACCTCTGGTGGAGACACCTAGCCCCTCGCCAGCGAAGAATGCGGCCACCTCGCTCTGTATTCATTCGTGGCCTCAACTCTTCGTCACCTACATCAGTGTGATCTTCAACTAGGAAAGCAAAAGGAAAAGAGAAGTCAGTGTACGGATATCATCTAAGTCTGCACAAACAAGTTGATTCAGGAGTCACCATTTTCTACATCGTCCCACACTAAGTGGTAATCGAGCTCATGTGCAGGACCTTCCCACTCGTCGATGGCATCCCAATCGATCGGATTGCCATTGAGGTCCCAATCCGTCGGTGGTTCTTGGTTGAGATCAAATCCTAGTTGTGCCATGGATTAGAGAGAGGTGGGTGGTTGTGGTCTTTCTACCAGAGAGTTGACCTTAACCTACGCCAGGACGACGGAATATATAGAGCCAAGATAGCTTCGAAATTTCGGGTGCAAATTGGCTTTTGGCGCGTGCTGTTGTATACGTAAAGCGCGGTGATTTTTGGTACTGAAATCGGCTTCAAATTTTGGCCAACAAACAAACTACGCGGGGCGTGCGAGTTTGGCGCGCGGCCGTTGCTCTAGTTTGGTACGCGGGCGTACAAGCATGAGGTTGGCGCGTATACGGCTGTATTTTTCGCGTAGAGGCGTCCGGGGCATGGAAACCGAACCGTTGGCACTCAGGAGTTAATACGTGCCTTGGTCTCGGTGAAAACTGCTTAGGCGCCTGTGAATCTTAGAAGAAGGGAGTATTATACAATTTCAAGTGGCCATTTAATTGGCTGCATGAGCAACACGGAAACAAGTTATGTCAGATGGAGCTAGTACAATAATTGCCTTAAAACCAAGCAAAGGCTAATATGGAGGAGAGAAGAGAAGCTGGAGGAGAGCTCTCGTGCAAAGCAACAACCTAGGCACAGAAGCATATGCAGTGATGGACTCTGAGTGTGAGAAGGATTAGAAAAGAGAAAGTAAGACATATGTAAAAGTAAAAAAAATGTTTATTGTAGGCAAATAAGAGACTATTATTGCATAGGTTGGCTTTGACAACATGTCAATTTACTAATACATATCTCTGCATGTACATCAGCTAGCTATTAGTACGGATAGGTCAGAAATGTCGCCATTGTGAATTTATGGACAAGTACTTATCTGACACAGTATATATGAAAAAGCAACTTGGGATTTTCTTTCTCGAATCACATTGAAGTTCAAGGTTACATATTGATATACCATTCTGTGTTCGGCAAATCTGATGGCTGATGTATACCCAAAAGCTGAGTAAACACATACTAGTAATTAGGTGTTACTAGAATTTATCTTATTCCTGAATCTTGACAATTTG